GGTCTTGTATTGGAAACAGATTTGGAAACAGTGTTTAACGCATTTGAGCCGTGAGCCTGCCCTTATTAGTGACTTCTCTTCGAAACCTTTTGAGCTCAAGAAACTTATTAGATGTGAAATACTGACTAATACACACCTAATCAAACCAAAAGAGAAAGGAAACAAGGCGAAATCGCTGAAAATGAGCAGGTTTAAAACTTGCAACTCGTCAAGTAAGGCGTATTGTGTGCAATAAGCAAATAAAGTTGAAATGACCCGAGGACAGATGTTCCTATGTTGCTATCTGAATGGTTGAAATCACAGTCCGGTGCTCAGAGAAAGGAACTTTTAGAATTGCACCCGTCATAATTCATGATGTTCCAAAATTTCTATAACATCTCAAAAATAACAAGTATCCCTAGATTCTTATTTCATCTCTAGCAATTATACTTTTAGAGTATCGTTGTTTTCGTCGATTGATCGGCGAAGTTTTGAGCATTTTATTGTGCTTATGACCTGTTAGGTTTCGTCTATTCTTGTTAGTGAGGACTTTCAAACCTATCGAATAACATTCTGGATCTTCTTTTTACAATTTATAAAATCATTTCTCTTATGTGCATGCATGTATTGGACAAATCAGATTGTCTCCTGTTTGGCACTGCGACAACATTTGAAAAAACTCTAAAAATTGTGCATTTGCAGTACGCGCGCTTTGATTTTTGACATCTGTCAAGTCGCCAAATTATGTATCACACGCGTTTCCGGCAAATCTCGAGGTATGTTCAAGATCCCAAAATACTTCACATGACCGAGTTAAACAACTGACACATAGCCAAATTGCCCAGTATCTGGGCATTTTGGCAAAGTGCCAGCTGTTCGTAATTTGACACGCATTCATTTCGAGTGTAAAGCATTTGCAGATTTTGCAACAGTGCACAGAAAGTAATGCACTCTAATCTACACAATACCCCTTATGCAACTCTCAAATATGCACTTCGCCAATTTGTGTAACGTTTCAAAGATAAACGGATTGAGAGATAACATTTGAATAAATTCAAAAAAAAAAGATAAATTTGAGTTCAAAAAAATTTTCGTGTTTGCGGATCTGAGCACATTTCAGATTAATATTTAACGAAAAGAATATATTCAAATTTACGGAAGAGGGCTAACTCGATGGCTACCCAAAAAAAATCCATCAGACAATGTGTAACAATGACACTCTTTTCATTCAAATCAAATTCAGTTTTATTGCAAGGGAATATGCAAATGACATCAAGTCTCAAAATATACAAAATTGAACTGGTAAAATAATAATACCGAAGTTTTACCTAATCCAACTTCCTGCTATTTTCGTTTGGTCCCGGAAATAGCGGAGAGGGGAGTTGTGGAGTAAGAGTTGTGGAGTAGCTAAATATAATAAGTCTTTTCACCAAAATTTTACAAAGTAACAAAGTCAGTAAGTCCTTTATGTTTCCGAAGCCCTTGAAATCATGAATGGAGATGGAAACTGAAAAACAAACTGGTAGTGATTTTGGCATGATAGAGAAACGTAATGAACTTTGAATCCGCTGAATTTGTTTTTGTCATTCAGGTTTGCCTTCCCGACAAAGTAAAGAGGACGATGGCAAAGACGAAATTTATACGTAGTAGCGTAATATTTGTGTTCATATTCTCTGTTCTATACAATATCCCACACTGCTTCGAAGCCGTTGTAATCGACTGTTATCATGAAACTCTTGGCGGATCATCGTGGGAAGTTTGCCCAGAAACTATAAGATATAATGATATGTAAGTTTGTAGAATAGTTATCTTCTAAAAAAACAGTATGGAACCTTTGATTCAACTGGATTGGCTTCGAGAAGGCGGGACTTTTTGACTAATTAAGGCCGCCCGCGCCCGCGGCGCACCTGCGTCTCTCTCGCGCGAGTGCTCTCTGACCATTACCTAGCCTTGATTAGGTCACGAAGCCCCGCCTTTCTGAAACCAAGCCAGTTGAAGTAAATGGTATTTTTTCAGGTACGAGAATATTTACTACAAATATATGTATGCTATATTTATAGCAGTTGTTCCACTTATGATACTCGTTATGCTAAATACTTTCATTATTGGTGAGATCCATAAAATTTCAAATAAATCTTCGTTTATGATTGATCCCACAATTTACGAGCTTCAATATTTGGTGCAGGTGGAACAAGTGCCGGTGATACTATATCTGTGGTAGTCATCATGACCATTTTTTACCCCCCCCCCCCTTTCCTCTGAATATCTTCCTATTTTTTCCAGATACTTGTCATCCTTTTGTTCATAGCGTGTAATGTGGCTGCCCTACTGTTGAACACATTTGAAGGAAAGATTGTGGAAGCGATAGGTCCATATATAAATTATATAGTCGACTTATCAAATCTGCTCGTCGTCTTCAATTCGAGGTAAAATCAATTACAATGTTTTTTTATATTTAAAGCAGAGGCAGTTCTTCTGTTTTCAAGTGAACACTATCGCTTACAAAGTTACTTTTTTGGGATAAGGAAATTGAGGGGCATAAGCTAGATCAAGATGAAACTAGTACTACAAGAGTTCCGAGGTTTCTTGGAAGGCGATTACAGAGGAGCTACGGTGGGATCAGTACGAAAATGGCACTTTTTGAATTTTTCGTGAAATATCACGATTGTAAAAAATTTGATGAGAATTTAGATTGATTTCTAAGTAAATGAATGGAAAATCATGGTATCTACATATTAGGTAGGGAAAACCAGTCGAGACAACATGGCATGCTATTTGGTTAAAATCTGTGGGTTTCCTCGGAAGGAGGGGTTCTCATCACATCCTTGATGCATCTTTCCTTAAGACGCATTCATGTAGCAGGAAATTCTTCCGACAACGCCTTTGCAAATTTTGAGTGAAAGTGCATGCTGTTTTTGTGAAAAAAAACCAAAATAAATAACAAACTCGATCCAAGATTTTTCATAGATTGTTTTCTTTGCTTAGTTTGCAAATTATATTATTAAAATTACAAAATTTTATAAATATTAAATTCTTTCAAAAGTAATTTCGCTCTATTTGAACAAGCTCCACATTTCGTGGAACAGAGAATGTACAGAAAATATGAAAAGTCCGATAAAAGTCCGATGCTTTCTTAGAGATTACAAATTTTTAGTGGCTTAACCAATGAAGTCTGAGAAAACTAGGAAAACTCACGACGTTTGGTTCTTGTCATGACCAAGTTCCGCTATGTTCTTAAATTTGTAAATCAGCCCCATCCCCCTTCCCCGAAAAAGGAATAATTAGCAAAACTAATGGATACAAAACCGTTCTTTTTTCGCAGCTTGTTTCTCAGAAATTTACGGTTATTTTGATTTTGAAATTCCATATTTGGTCAACTCAAACAACATCAACCCGCGAGCAACTTATTGTTAGTTGTCGTTGCTCCTTTCTTCTGAAGTGTTTTACTTTGTTTCCATTTCGTGAAGTTTTCTTCCTAGCTATACTCAGACTATTCAAGATTTTATTTTGAATCCAGCTCTCATATGTTAAATAATAATCTATCTTCACAATTCTAATGTTTCGAAAATCATTGGCGTGGTGCGTTTGTGTCTGAGACAGGTCGGCTAAAGTTTGGCGGTTTCAATAGTCTACCAAATGATCATATCGATGTATGGAAAAAAAGAAAAAATGTTCTTTATTCTGTAGAATTTGCTTTATCAATTTATTACTTTGCCTTTTTTTTGGGGGGGGGGGGGAGTACGTAAAAAAATCAGAAAAGCAGCAAAATATGACTATGACAAAAACCGATCGTATTTTCGTAATTTTCTGAGTCTCCGTTGGCTGAACTGCGATAAAGAGATAACTGTTTGCCAGGAAATAAAACAGTACTATACTATTACAGTAAATATTCTTAACATCCCTGTAAACATTCGATCTACCTTTTCACGCAATAATTTCAGTTTCAACTTCGTCATTTACGTCACATTTTCGCGGAGCTTTCGAGATACTCTACGAAAATATCTTTATGGTCACGATCGAAAGGCGGATTGCGACGGTGCAGCTGCGGTTCCAGAAAAATCCTCTCGCTCAATAATATGTCGAGAAACATTGGGACGTCTACTTGCGACCACTCAACCTGAGGTGCTCATTTAAGGTTGGACCAAAATATTTCAATACTTAAACTGCTTGTTTGAAACATTTAGGTTCTGACAAGCGTACTTCATCGTGAAGATTCGCTACAATCCTGATAATCAGGTGATCAGTGAAGTGTGATAATAATATTGCTTTGCAATGATGTTCAACTATAGTTTTGATTACAATCAATAAAAAAATTTTATTCGTATTTGTTGCTGCTAATCAATGCACCCAAACTATTAGAGTTGCTTCAGTCCATGGAATCATGGCAAAACGGAGAAGCAACAGACTTAATTGGTCCAGCTTTTTCGGAGTTTGGCCACATTTTCTCGATAACTTACACTCGTTATGCGAGTTTTCGAATTATTTGCGCAGAAAATTTGTTGGTAAATAGCTGCGCAAAGATACCATGAACATGTGGACATATCATGCAATCTAATAAATACAGAATCGTTAACTCAATTCAAAAATCTGCAAATAGCGGGAAACTGCGGCGCGTTCCCGAAGCAAACGCTTTTGCAAATACTACCTTTAGACTGGTTCACTGGTTTTTTTACTGGTTCACTAGTTGTTTGATATCTGGATTACTTGCTAGCGTTCGACGTATTCTGAACTTACATATACGCTGTTGCTGTTGCGGAAAATTTTATAATTTTTTGAAAACTTTATTTTCTATGTTAAAGCGTTGAAAATTGCTTGATGCAGTTGAAAGTATAAATAGACCATATATAAGAGATTGCACAACTGATAAAATAAATAAAAAATAATCTATCCGTGACATATGGGGGTTCCCGAAGTCTATGCTATTTTCGAATGTGGCTTCAATACTATGTCTAAAATTAATATTAGTGTTGAAGAAATACTCGAGGTTGCACTAGAAATTTAGAGTCTCAAAGTTAGAGAAAGGGTACGATTCCAAATCTTTGGAGAACATAAAAACCTCAAGCATTTCCAGGGTTTTGGTAACACATAGCCGTTTCTAATAAATTTTAGCCATACACACAAGCACTATCGACAAGGAGGTGAAACAATTTTTAGCTTTTACATCTGATTTGTCACTTATCAATTAAACTTTCTATGTATGATGGTAGCTAATAAGCTTATAAGAACAAGGATGGACAAGGAGGAATATATAGGAGTGTTGCTCGGATATTTTTAGTCGAATCCGTTCAAACAAGTGTGCATTGCAAGCACCGTCCTTCTTTGGCATCCTTGGTGTTGCAATTGCAAAAACGCAAGACACTGAACTTTGTATCGACATCGTTCTGAGCATATTAATATCTAAACAGTAAAAGAAAACATCGAGGACACTCACCTGAAAAGGTGTCTGCGTCAAAAATCCAGCATGGGAACGCAGGTGGACATTGTGTGCAATGACACACATGTCGTATGTAATGACTTGACTGTAGGCTAACCAATCTTCATCTGGTTCCAACCTCGAATTAAATGCGCTCTGTTAAAAAGCTTAATTCGCATCTTTAGGAAACATTTAACTTACAGCAGCGGACAGTATACAGTAACGTTGTAACGGGAAATTTTGTTTTTCTGAAGCTCCAATTAATAGCTTTATATTACAAAATCCTACACTACAACAGGAAGAAACGCAATGCATCATGATATGTAGTATGTACACCAGTAGATAGGGAAGAACATGAATATCATTTTCATTTTTATTTCAATATTTTCACACCAAAGTTTGGCCATCACGAAAAACAATGAAAACAAAACAAACAGACAAAACCAAACATTGAACAATGACGAGCAACTCATACCGGTTCGGAAGGGACAACGGAGCAGTAAGAATATGGAAAAATCCAAGATAAAACTTTCTGCATTTGACTGAAGTGCTAGCAAACAGGTTTGCAGCTCATATAGTAAATATGATCTGCTTCAGATTCAATCTCGCTGCCTATGAAAATTTGATTATTCCATTGTTGGGTCCAACTAGCCTACGGGCGGAAGCTATGTAGCTGGCGAAAACTCAGTAAAAATGATTTTCAGAGGCTAGGAAGATATCTTTGAGCAGAAAAGAGCTAATAGTAAGCTAGCGACGATCAATCCCGGAACAGGGAGTATGATTTTGTCTTGGCGAAGAATGGGGATTTTTCAAAATTCCACTACTGGGTTGTGTGTTCGGGTATTTGGAGGCTATAATCAAATTTCTTACGAAACAGTATGAGTTGAGCATCCGTTAGTGATTGCGAACTTTATTAATGGTTAGTAAAAGTACGGAAGTATTTCGAATATGTCAAGCCATCCTCTCCAGCAGAAGCAGGTTCTTTGAAAGTAATAAATAACTAACAAGGGAAGAATACTAACTTAGATTCGCCTTTTGAGATGAGACACATATATTTGGTTTCAGCTTTAAATGCTGATTTCAAACAAGCCGTTCCTTGCTGCTTAGCTTTATTCCAAAGCAAGTTATGAGCTTGTTGTTGCGAGTAATTAAGAAACTTCTGAATGTCGTAAAATGGCGTGTAGATAATAATCTGCTCGAAAAAAGTGGTAGATGTTAAACAGCATCAGATTAATTCCTTCGATCTTGAAAGGTGCAAAACCACCTAAACGTCGACACCTCAGCATCAGTAGCTCGAGGAACACGCAAATTTTCCATAGAAAAGAGACCATAACTTCTTCAGAATAATGCTAAGCAGCTAGAAGCATCATGTTTGGAATCTGCGTTTCAAGCTGACTCCAAATATAAGTGTCTCGTCTTGAAAGGCAAATCTATAGTATCCTTCTCTTGTAAGAATCAAGGGGTAGAATACGGGCTAGCAAGACGACGAGCCACATTGGACGCAAATCAGTAGGGACCATGTCTCAACAGAAAGGTAGAAAGTGTAAGTGTACTAGCGAAACCCAAAAATCATCGATTTTGATTTCATGTAGTACATTGAGACCGTTTAATTTTCTGCGACATATGTAAGAGTTCTCACTGCTGACTACTTCTGAAGGCAGTAAAGCAAGCCACCTAGTTGTACGACAAAAGAAAGAGTTAAAAGCAGTTGAAAACAATTTTTCACCTAGCTTGCGATAAGAATAATGAGGATCCCCTATGCGTTGGCTACCAGGCTTGAAAATCCAATATTTACCCGGTCTAATTTTGGTTCCTAGGGGTCAATTTTTCTAGGCGAAAACGATAGTACGGTAGTGACTGTGGATAGCTCGCATCAGGAGAACATTTATAAAAGACAACTCTTGTAAACGTTTATTGTATTTTTTCACCCTTCCCAAGGTGTTCATTCAGAAAAGGGCTTCAAATAGGAGGTGCTTGTTCTAGATGAGGCAATACACAGTTTTTATACAGGCGCACAAACAATTCAGGATCATTACTATGAATGTTTCTGAAAATTTTGAACAAGAGAGAAGATGATTTATTGATGATAGAATCAAAATGTGAAGTAAATTTGAGTGAACTAACTATCAAGACACCGGTCTCTCACAAGAATGGATGACTCAAGATTGACAGCGTGTTAGTGTAAGTGCGGCAGGGAGATTGACTCAAATGCAATACCGTTGTTTTAGAAATCTTTATCGGAATTTTCCAATCTTCAGACCAAAATGTCATTCGATGTATCGCTGGGGAAAGCGCTTCAAAAGCTTCCTTTTGGTGGCTGTCATTATAACAAAAGCAAATTTTAATGCCATCAGCAAACAGCTGAACTTTTATTTCAGGATGGGTTTTCAAAAACATTGTTAATTCAGCAACATAGATCAAAAAAGCAGGGGTAAGAGTATACCTCGCTGTGGCACACCGCAACAATGGTATCGATTCGAGTACCAATTCCCTATACGAACTGTCATTCCTCTATCTTATAGGAACCAAGACAATAGGTTTCTTCTAAAGCCATAATTTTCAACTTTGAAAAGAGAACATTGATGATTCACCTTATCAAAAGCTTTGGAAAAGTCAAAGTAAATAATGTTAACAGATTTGTCATGATTGAGAGCGGTCAGCCGTCAAAAACAGAATCAAGGAGCAAGGTAGTGGTGGAGCAAATCGGTAGGAAACCATAACAACACAACAACACGGAATAACACGGTTACTATCGAACCAATCAAACATCTTGTCTCTGACAAGTTTCTCAAGAGTTTACCCCGCAGTGGGCATGATGCCAACGGGTCGGAAGTTTGCTAAGGTACAGTTGTTTTCTTTTGGTATAGCAGTAATGAGGGCTTCTTTCCATATTTTTGGAACTCCAGTGGCCGTATTCATCAACGAACCCAGTGGGTTCCGGAACCCATTGAGCTCGCGAACCCACTGGGTAAGATCGGTATTCTTAAGTGTCTCGCTGGGTTCGCCAACCCATGACGTCACCAATGTGTCTCTTTAGTCGATTTACTATTTTTCTCATCTCTCGACACACAATCGCGCTAAACTAAAAGCGCCAGCAAGCTTGGCACGCTTTTGAGAACTCCTTTGCTCGGATGAATGACATCAATCAATGTCTTTTGTACTACAAAACTAGCACTTCCTTCATTCTGTTCTTTGTCCGAGAATTCACTCACTCGGACCCAGACATGACTGTCGACTATAACACGTGTGAAAAGAGGTGCAAAAAGAGGAGTCTATGCTTTTTTGTGCAAATGATATTTCTTGTTCAGCATTGTCCCTTACCTCATAAGGAAGATATTAGCTATATTTTTGAACATTGCACCACACAGCTGACATAAACGAATCTCATAGTTTAAAACGGTTGTCATGGTGCAAAGTAGCTAAATTTCAGTTTATGGAGGATTTTGCCATACATAACAAGTATACCCACGCCTTTTTTCAAAATCCCATTTCATACGAAATTTTCATTATCAGCGACAAGGTGCATATTCGTAGAAAGCGTTCAAGTCTTTGTCCATATGTATTTCTTGTGCGAGGAGCCCGAATGGTAAGGGAAGTACGTTTTCCTTAGACTGGAATGTGCAAATGGATCATTGACAGAGTTCTAATCTCTATGATGCAAATTAATACGTGATTGTTTTTGATTGAATGATTTTGATTGATCGATTTTTACTCCAGAAGGAACAAACGATTTTGACGAAAACTGCTTTTTTCTTCTTTTAAGCGTTTGTCTGTTTACTTGATCGGATTGGGTGCCAAAACTTTTTTTATTAGTTTGCGGTAGACGAACATAAGCACATGGACAAATATAGTCAACCAAATACATAAACACGAATGCAAGCAGAGGCTCTGCTTCGCATATAATTCTCCCTCTGTAGTGGCAGCAGTATAGAAAAATTCTAAGATAGCATAAGCAAACATTGGCAAGTGTTCAAGCCACTTAGAATTCAATACAAAAACCATCAAAGAGCTTGTTTGTGACTTTTTAAAGACTGCCAAATCGTGACTGGCGTCAAGTTTGCTAGTCCTACATCTCAGTGGAATATCTTATCAAAATCTGTTCAAGAAAATTGCTACCAGTTAAAAGAGCATGCAAAATGTTTATAATGTATAAGGCCCGTATGCACTAACATTTTTGCGGCGAAGGGAGCGGCGTCCCCCGTTATGAAGGGACCGCGTGCGGACGCCGCTGCGGGTTTTTCATCATTGGGGACGCCGCTCCCCTCGCCGCAGGGATGTTAGGGCATGCGGCCCTAAGTGTTGCTAATGTAACCATCCCCGCTTATAAAAGTTCACAAAAGGTTAGCAAAGGGACTGGGTTCGCATGTAATCCACCGAGGATTTTGCGCCATGCTTGGTTGCGCCAACTCAATGGGTTCCTGAACCCACGAGAACTGTGGCCGTATTCAACGAACCGTGAATTCCGGAACTCACTGGCTAGGCTTAACCCACGAAACCGGTAATCACGAAGCTAGTGGGTTAGCGAACCCAGCAGTGCTTATAATGAATATCGATCCTAGCCTATGGGTTCGCAAAATTACGAAATCGCTAACCCACTGGGTGGTGGAATCCATTGGTTTCGTTGATAAATACGGTCACTGGATTACTTGTTTTGTGAATACCGGTATGCCCGCCTTTTGGGTTCGCTAACCCACTGGGTCCGTTCTAAATGGCGGTCAATTGACTGTTCGTGGGTTCCGGAACCCATTGGCTTCCGAAATCCACTAGCTTCGTGGATCCCGATCTCGTGGGTTAAGTCTACCCAATGGGTTTTGGAACCCACTGGGTTCATTGATGAATGCAGCTACAGAAGTCAAGAGAGAAGCATAAAAAATGTAAGCGAGAGGGTAACAAAGGGATGGAGCACATTTTCTGTAAAGAATCTGCGGAATGCCATCATAGGTGGAAGAAGTAGATGATTTAAGCCTCTTCAAAAACTCATAAACACTTCCAGCAGTAACACGTAGGGCACTATAAGGCTCATGGATACGCACTGTCGGTTGCTTCACTACATCAATATCCTCTGAAGTGTGGTCAAATTCTTTAGCAAAAAGAGCCCCAAAGCTTTATCTTGATCCTCTGCGTAGGTTATTCCACCATCTGTTATTTCTAGTAGTCCTGCTTCACCTCTGACTCTGGCTCTTAGATACCGAAATAGCTCTATACCAGTGGCGTACCGAGGGGGAGGGGCTGGGGCGGGGGGGGGGGGGGGCGACCCCCCCCCCCCGAAAATGGGTCGCGAAATTTTTGAAAGTTACTTATATGGGTTATAAAAATGTGCAGTTGACTTGTTTATACTTGTAAATAATCGTAATAATTTTTAAAAATTTTTAAAAATTCGAATTAGCCTCGTAAATAATTTTTTTTCGGGGGCGTGGCTGACGCCACGCCCCCTTTTCCCAGATTTTAGGGGTTAGGGACCTGTAAAAATTTTCAGAAGCACCCCTAAAATTTTTCGGAGTGCGTGGCTAACGCCACGCACCTTCATTCGAGAACTTTTTTGTCGCCCCCCCCCCCCGAGCGGAAATCCTGGGTACGCCACTGCTCTATACTACCTTGCCTGCTGAGGCGATGTTCACGATTACTCAAAAAAATTTTGGGGTGGTAACCAAGATCACGACAGACTTTTTTGTACAACGTATCTGTTAATGGATCACTAAGATCAGAAAACGTCTCGATTTCTGCTCTACCAGATTTTGGATTTGAACAGGGAATTTACGAAAAGGTGTTTTTTGCGTAACGAAAGATACATATTTGGCCATTGCATTGTAGAGTACTAAACAAAAGCGATTACAAGTCATCGATCGACAGAAGTATGTCCGGCAGAAACGTTTGACCAATCACCTCGCATAAGCTCAGCATTATTGTTGAGGTAATCAGCGCTGAAAAGATCAGGAAAAGGCAGAAGAAGTCTTTTGAAAATAAGAACGAATGAGAAAGGATGTCACATTGTGGTCTGATGCGCCAAAGGGCAGGAGTGCGCTCAGTACGTGCAAAATTTCGTGCAAGGAAAAGAAAAAGACAAGATTAGTAACTGATCTACCTCTGTTGGGAAAGGTAACATTCTGCGTAAGTCCGCATTCCTGGAGAAGAGAGAGAAAATGCACATTGTGGAGGTGTCTATGAGGAGAAGAAGCATCAACGTTAAAATCTCCCAGTACGATCACTGTAGCTGAAGAGGGACTTGAAACGCGAATAGCATTGGTTAAATCATCATCATCGCTCACACTGGAATTTGGCGGGCGATATACTATGACATTTCTCAAAGGGAAGAATGATAGAGTAGTGAAAATGTTCAAACAAAGCATATCGGATTCAATATACTGGGTGACTCTGGTGCGCTGAAAACTCGGTTTCAACGAAACAGCAAACACCACCTCTGTTTATGGTGCGATCAGCTCGAAGAATGCCATATGGAAGATCAGCTATAAGTTCAAAATCAGAGATCTTTGCGCTTACAAGATTCGGTAACGCACGATATATGAGAAGAATGGATTTTAAAAAAACCATGAAGTAAATGCAGTTTATTTACTAAACTGCGTGCATTGAATAGAAAGCACGAAATGAAATCGGATGGACCTAGCATGTCCAAGTTTCCCTGAGGGAGACCTCTTAGAAGGTCCGAGATACGTTTTACTCCTCTCCTATGGACTACCCATTGTTTTGTGGCACTTCCTCTATTCTTCTCCCAGGTCTGTCTCCACAGCTCAGCGTCCACGGCTCGCTCCGCCGGAGTCATGCTCCTACGAATATACACTTTAGATAAAGGAGAATTGCGCAACAAATAAGAATTCGCAAGAGCCTGACTCCAGGCGGAGCGAGACGGAGATACAACTTTCACGAGTCTGAGTTTGGACTCGTGCAACTTACCCATTCTAAATATTTCTGATGGCCATGGATCAACTTCAATCACTCCAAGCACGCGCGCAACACTTTCGTCCAGGAACTTCTTCCTTTCGAAAAGTGGGAGATCAGAGGGAGCTTCCGGCAAGTTGGCAATACGATGCTTCGCTCCCTCTTTTCTGTTGCTGCATCTTTTGGAATCTTGTTTTGTAATGCTTGTACCACTCTCTCAATGAGAGGATCTTTGTTCCTCTCGATTGTGTATTGAATGAGTTCATTAACGGAAAGATCACCATAGTCGACCACGGGGTCACGCGTCATGAGGAAGATTATCCTGTGCGCAATGGTTAACCTTCTTATTACGTAGTGTCTGCTCGCGATAGATTGAGAGTTTAATTTTTCAGAACGGACTGGCATTATTGCGTTGACAAAATCAATAACTGGAAAATCAAGAAATTTTTGATAAGATAAGCATTAAATTGCTGAATAGGCCTAGCTAAGGAGATAGACAGAAGAAATGGGAAACAAGTGTGAAAGCAAAGAATGTAAGATATCGAATGTAAAGAAGAAAAAGAGGGAGAGCTAGAGAGCTAGAGAAAGAGCGACCGTCCATGGGCACGGCACGGACAAGAATATTTACAATTTCTGATATTTTTTAAATTGCTAATTTTTACCATAAGTGACTGGTTAGGAACTTTCGAGAAACTTCCTGCGTTTATAAAAGCATGTACGCCGAGTGCATTCTAGATTTTTTGATAATTTATCACAAGGGTGATGTAGTTCTATCGTTACTAATTATCTCTTTATCTATTCAATTATTTACTTATGTTATACATTAGAGTGCGTCAAAAAGTATCCAAAAACCCTCAAAAATCATCCAAAAATCAAAGAATGTCGAAAAAGATCACAGTTCCTTGCTGGATGGATGACCTTTGTTTCAAATATCACAATGTTTAAAAATAAAAATACGGAAGTTATATGGCCGGCAAACATCGCCACTAAACCTTTACTTTGAAGCTTTTCAGCTCTTTTGTACAAAATCAAAGCCTTTCTTTCTCCTATTGATGAATAACTGCTAAATAAAATTTCTTCAGAAAACCCTTGGTTTAACTACTTTCTTCAAAGTAAGTTTCAAGCCCAAGTTTCACACAAATCTACGAAAATTCAGCCAAGTTTGGGGGACTAGCATAATCACCATTTTAGATCGAATGTTTAACAATGCCATTTGCCAGTTTCACTGACAAAAGCATTAAATTATTCAAAGATAGAAATTCAACGCATTTCTTTTTGTGGAGTATTGTTTGGCCGGTGATCGATAGGGAGCTGTAGAAAATGAGGAGACATTTTGACCAATTAGTAGCACTCTTTTATCCAGTTGAGTTTTCTTCTCCGTTACAAAGGTGATGTAACGATTTAGATACAAATAAGTGAGTAGGTAATTTGAGCGTATTATGACCGAAACGTAAAAGTCGTGGATTTTTTTTGTCTTAGAGAAATGGCAATGGCCGTGGGGACAGAGATCATCAATCAATGACTTCTAGGAAAACCTCTCACCATAGCAAACTATCATTGATCCTTGCGTTTCCATAGTGTTTAGTGCTCTTTTTCTTCGTGACTTACTATTGCCCTCAGAATTTGAGGAGTGATTCAATACAACTTACATTTAGCATTCATTAGCAAGCAAAACTTTTTTCCATTTCACAATTTTTATTTCTGAGATCCTTCTTTGACACCTTTGTTAATGCACATCAGTGGTGTTCCAAACATGTTACACCAGCAAACTCTTTCATAATTGAGATTATTCAAACCGAAAAGCATTAATCTAGGTAACTTACTATTCTTTGTTGGAAACTGAGGTGACAACCACGGCCGACACAAAGCTCCCCTTACGTTAAAGATAAGCTAGTGCTTTAGGTTGCGTTTAATGTAACAGTTCTTCATCTTCTTAATAGCAGTGTTTTCAAAGTAATTCCCTTCCACTACCACTTAGATAATCGTTTTTGATCCAACGCCCCCGACCTTCCTCACACTCACACGCTATCTTACCCTTACCCACACAGCCTTTCACACTCTCACCCTTGCTTACCCTCATACTTCCACGCTAACACACGCTCACCCTTTCACAACACCCGCCGTAACGCCCGCCGCAACCGTACCGCCGCTACCGTACTACCGCCTTCGACTGGATCGTATACCTGAAAATCCTAAGATGTTTATATGTAATAACTATGATGTTTATATGTACTAATGTATATGTATTTCGTACATAGCATAAAGTTTGTTTCCGCGACCTATCGGTATCACAAAGTGTTCCAGCAACAGTTCGTAAAGCATTTTCGCTGGAAACTAAAATAACATCCATGATACAAATTTGTAAACAAAGAATGTTGTCCTCGTTTAACCATAATAACACAGGAAAGCGGCTAAGAATGGTGAATAATGACACATATAATAACAATATTGTTCTAGATGCACCAGAAGAAACTGTAACATATGTGACAGATCAAATTAACAACACTACACTAGCTCTACAACAAATTACTACTTCAGAACCAACAAACCCAACATATCCAAATGTGATTCAACAAATGTAGTTTATATGAAAACATGCCTTACGTGTGACTTACAATATGTTGGGAGATCACAAAAAAATTGAGGTCAAGAATAAATCAACATAAGAGAAGTTTTCACAAATTCAGCATACTTACGTTTTTGGTAGATCATTTCAAAATACTGGGCATGAACCGAAGAATATTAGTGTAGAGATGCTGGATCACGTTACTGAAGTAAACAATACAAAAAAAACTCTTAAGAGACATATTGGATACAATATATGGTCACTGCATACCCCGAGAAAAAGAAAAGAAGATCCAAGAGATAGACCATATGCTTCGGCAGAACAGAAGTAGTAATCAATAAGTATATGTATGGTAATGCGCTCAGGTACCTTAGTAAACTGAATGAAATGGATATAAATAGGTTTATTGAATACGCCTTCACGACAGACTTCAGAAATTTAACATTTGAACACAGATGAAAGATATATTCATTGATAGCCACTCCTTTCAGGAAATGAAAAAATTTTCAATAGAAGATAGACCAAATTAATATCACACTATTCTTCTTGGGCAACGTTATGGGACGGCTAAAACTTACTCAATTGTGCAATAGTACCAGAGTACATAGAATAATTACTGAACACATAATTACTAGAAACATCGATTTGTAAGATATTAGAGTAATAATTCGCTACAACTTGCAAAAACCTCTTGCGCTAAATCTGTAATCATAACAACTTTCTCAGAAGGATAGATACCAACCTCATTGATTTCTATAGAGGATCGAGAATGTATACGCGACAAAAAATCCTAAGCATGTCTGCACAGGGAATATCGACTTCATGGACGGCGAAAGATTGAAGAGTGCACCGAGGAAAGGAGATACAGGAGGCGCTTTATATCTAATAAAGAAGATGTTTTGAGTACAAAAGACCTTATATCCCAACTAATAACAAGGTATTAGGTGGGTCCGAAATTTCTGTCGTTTCATTTTCAAAAATTTCGCTAATTTACTTTAAGAATTAAATCGAAGATCATCGTTTACCGCGATGATCTTCTAACTAAGCTGGGAGGCGAATCCATTATGTTTGGTACCAAAGCCCATCGATCCTTTATTCTGCATTTTGGACCTTCCATAAAAACCCTGCTGTGCTTCGATCATGCAACTTTATGAAATGTTCAGCCTTTAATGTCATTCTTCCGCGTTTCATGATCAGAAAGCGATTTACTTTTGACGTCAATCTGTGTTTAGGATCGTTTTAACCAAAATTTGAGCGTTTGTGCTGAACTTGCTGACTATCAGGATATTTCTCAGTCACTCAGTCTTCTATATGGTCGATGAGAACCTACGCATGATTAGCCCTGATATATTGCTGCAGAACTTTTTTGATGTAGTGTGGTGAATATCTCAATGTATTCATTAAGATGGTGATTCCAATTTTTTGAAACTAATTGATTTTTAAATTATTTCTTTACTTTCTCTATGACCTTTTCTCACCATGCTTTGCCCAACTTGGTTGGTTTGAGATGGAGTTTTACCGTTCTGGTATGTTTTCAGGCTTAGTGAATGGCCTAAAGCGTACCACACGCTCGATCTTCAAACCTAACAAAGCTACGATATCAATTCTTGGAAAGTTGAAGCGATGATGGAATCACTTGTGGTCTAATACAATAGAACTTTCCATTGATTCATATAGTGACACGGCAGTGGCGTACCCAGGATTTCCGCTCGGGGGGGGGGGGGGCGACAAATTTTTTTTCAAATGACGGTGCGTGGCGTTAGCCACACACTTCGAAAAAATTTTAGGGGTGCTTTTCAAAATTTTTGCGGGTCCCCTACTCCTAAAATCTGGAAAAAGGGGCCGTGGCGTCAGCCACGCTCCCGAAAAAATTTTTTTACAAAGCTAATTTGAATTTTTAAAAATTTGTAAAAATTATTTTAGTTATTTACAAGTATAAACAAGTCACTTGCACATTTTTATAACCCATATAAGTAACTTTCAAAAGTTTGGCGACCCATTCTCGGGGGGGGGGGGGGAGGGCGCCCACTGTTACACGGGAAGGGTGTATGCCTCGTCTGCCTTGGAGCGAACGGGGAATAGAATGAGCTTCTCGCAAAAATTTTTTTGAAAGCCTTGTGGCGAAGGGCTATTTTTTAGATGAAAAGGGAGAGTAATTATAGCGAGCATTCCGAAAACTTGCTAGCTAACTTCAACTTTTTCTGAAAAAAAGCTTTTGGCGCGTGGACGTGATACGACCTGCTGCTGTCCACTGTCTTGTACCACACTGGGCAGGGCCCGATTTTGTAGTGCCCAAATCCTGTTAAAAATAGACTTTTTCGTGTTTCAAACCGGCTAAGGACTTTCTTGATGTTAAAGCTGCGAACTTTGGTCATAAACTTGACGAGGATTTTTTCTCGATAACCAAAACCTCAAGAAGCAGAGTGGTAAGAATGTGTCTACCTGGTGGTTCCTGATGCCTTTTTTGCAGATCCGTGGTTACAGATTCCTGGTTTTTCAGGCAATGACTACAACTTTCGTAACGAAACGCATTTTCCTACGCACCAATGGGAAGGATGTAAATAATTTTTCTGCTAGTATCGTATAAAGTTTCATTTGAACATCTGATATTTTTTGAGTATCTATCCATGTAAAGCTTATGACGGGTATTGATAAATCTGCTACAAAACTTTGGGAAGGAAATCAGTACATGTTTAGCGCCAAATCTTATTGATTTTATCCTGCAGTTTGGACTTCGCGCACA